ATATGGTCCTGGGAGTTCAGTGGCTGCAAGTACTTGGACCAGTTACCTTGGATTACAATAAGCTGACTATGGAGTTTCAATGGCATAAAGAAACTATCAAGCTTAAAGGGGAATCTCATACAGGTCCAATTTCTCTTAATCAATTTCGCAAGATACAGCAAACAGGACAAGTGGCATCCTTGTTTCATTTGAAGATGTTGGACACTATTTTTGATTCACCAACAGAGATTGCAATACCACAGGTACAACAACTCTTAGTAGAATTTGATGCACTTTTTCATGAACCTACAGACTTGCCTCCACATAGACAAATAGACCATGAAATTCGCCTTGAACCCAACACACTGCCTGTAAATGTCAAACCGTATAGATATCCCCATTTTCAAAAAAATGAAATTGAAAAACAAGTTGCACAGATGCTTGATTCTGGATTTATCAAACATAGCAATAGCCCTTTCTCATCTCCTGTCCTTTTAGTTAAAAAAAAAGATGGAACATGGAGATTATGTATTGATTATAGGGCACTTAATAGCATTACCATCAAAGACAGATTCCCTATTCCCACTGTGGATGAGTTAATGGATGAGTTAGGAGGCTCTCAAATTTTTTCCAAGTTAGATTTAAGGGCTGGTTATCACCAAATTCTCCTTAAGCCAGAAGATACACACAAAACAGCCTTTAGGACTCACCAAGGCCATTATGAGTTCTTGGTTATGCCTTTTGGGCTAACCAATGCTCCTTCTACATTTCAAGCCACAATGAACCACATACTCCAGCCCTATTTGCGCAAGTTTGTTGCTGTATTTTTTGATGATATACTTGTGTATAGTACTTCTATGGACTTGCACATACAGCATTTAAAACAGGTCTTACATACTTTGCAAATTCACCAATTTTTTATCAAAAAAAGCAAGTGTTCTTTTGCTCAAAAGGAGGTTGAATATTTGGGACATATTGTCTCTTCCAATGGAATGAGTATGGATCAGAATAAGATAAAGGCCATCCTTGATTGGCCAGCTCCCAAAAATGTCAAGCAGCTACGCGGTTTTCTTGGCCTCACAGGTTACTACAGAAAATTTGTTCAAGGATATGCAACCATTGCAGCTCCTTTAGCAGATTTACTTAAACATGATGCTTTTAATTGGTCCCCAACTGCTCAAACAGCCTTGGAAAGTCTAAAGGCAGCCATGGTTAGTGCTCCAGTGTTAGCTTTGCCAGACTTTGATCAAGACTTCGTTGTTGAAACTGATGCATCTGACTTGGGTGTGGGTGCTGTCCTTCTTCAACAAGACCATCCACTTGCTTATTTTAGCAAGAAATTGTCATTGAAAATGCAGAGAGCAGCAGCATATGTGAGAGAATTATATGCAATAACAGAGGCAGTGAAGAAATGGAGACAGTATTTGCTTGGCAGACGATTTCTCATTAGAACCGATCAAAAGAGTTTAAAGGCTCTCTTGGACCAAGTTATCCAAACTCCAGAGCAGCAGTATTACCTCACCAAACTCTTGGGATTCGAATATACAATAGTCTACAAACCAGGCAAGGAAAATCGTGCAGCTGATGCCTTATCAAGACAGCCTGATATCATGAGTTTCATGGCCCTTTCAGTACACCAATTTGATATTTTGGATGAATTACGGGAAGAGAATCTACATTCTGCATTTTTCCAGCAACACCATCAACTTTTAACAAACTCCAACAGTGCAGATCATGGCTTGGAAATCAGAGATGGATTAGTATTTAAAAAAGGGAAATTGCTCCTTGATCCTCACTCACCTTTGATTGATAAGGTTATGAAGGAGTGCCATTCCACACTGACTGGTGGTCATTTCGGCATACAAAAGACAGTTGCTAGAGCTTCTACAAGCTTCCTCTGGCTCGGCATGCACAAGGATATTAAGAGGTATATTAACTCTTGTATAGTTTGTCAACAAGTTAAGGTTCCCACTCAGAAACCTGCAGGCCTTCTGCAACCAATTTCAATACCTGAGAGAGTGTGGGAAAACCTCTCCATGGACTTCATCATTGGCCTTCCTAACTCCTATGGGCACACAGCAATCTTGGTAGTGGTTGATAGACTTTCCAAGATGGCACACTTTGGAGCCTTGCCAAAAAATTTAATGCTGTGAAGGTGGCCACTCTTTTTACAGATATGGTATGTAAACTCCATGGCATTCCAAAGTCTCTCATCTCAGATAGAGACCCCATATTCCTTAGTACATTTTGGATGGAATTGTTTGAGCTAAGTGGAACAAGTTTGAAAAGATACACTGCATACCATCCACAATCGGATGGTCAATCCGAAGTAGTGAATCGAGTATTGGAACAGTTCTTGCGATGCTTTGTAGCTGAGTCTCCTAAGCACTGGTTCAGATTGATAGCTTGGGCAGAATTATGTTACAATACTGCATCTCATGCAGCAACTGGCATGTCCCCCTTCAAAATTGTATATGGTCGTGACCCTCCTGGAATACTAGACTACATTCCCACAACAGCCACAACACCTGAGGTGGACACATTATTGACTGATAGGCAACTGCTGCTACAACAGCTCAAGAGTAACTTACAAAAAGCCCAGCAGCTCATGAAACATCAAGCAGACAGCCATAGAAGGGATGTCCATTACAAACCTGGTACATTGGTGTGGGTTCGCCTTCATCCCTATAGACAACAATCACTTGCTGCCCGTATTTCCAATAAACTTGGGTACAGGTACTTTGGACCCTATCCTATTGAGAAAAGAGTGGGAAAGGTTGCTTACAAACTCACCTTACCTGCCTCAGCCAAGATCCACCATACTTTCCATGTGTCACTCCTCAAACCGTTTCAAGGGGACCATGATATCTCTCCATTTCCCTTGCCAGAGTTATTTACTGGTGGTTTGCCTGTTATGCAGCCTAAACAAGTGTTAGCCTCTCGACAGCATCAGGATGGTACAATTGAAGCTTTGATATTATGGGAGGGAATGCCTGCTGAACAGACTTCATGGGAAGGTGTAGCAGAACTCCAACAGCAGTTTCCTAACTTCACCCTTGAGGACAAGGTTGTTTTCAATGGTGTGAGTATTGATACAACACTAACTGATGAGGGGAACATAAAATATGCAAGAGCTGGAGAAACAGAAGAAGAGAACCTTGGAGATATAAGAGAGCCAAGCATAGCAGAAAGGAAAACAGTTAGAGAAAGAAGGAAGCCACTAAGATTTAGAGATACATTGTAAATAAAAGAAGTGTAACCGAAATAGCAAGGTGTTTAGTATAGGATGACGTGTAAGGGAAAGGGTAAATGTGTATCGATATAAATCAATTGCTTTGTACAGATGTCAAGTAACTGAAATAAGAATAGAATCATTTTTTTCTCTCACCTCTGAGTCTCTTCTCTCTTCTCACCCCTTTCTTCGTTTCTTCCTTCATAGATAGAGATAACCTCTATCAGTTGATGTTCTCTGCTTTTCATATCTTTGCTTCTTTTGTTGTTTGTTCATCAACGATTCCGCAAACTGGGCTGGTGAAGGCCGAGCTATTTGACTAAGAGGTCGAGCTGTTAAGTGTTGGATTCAGAGACACAACAAGAATATGTAAGAAAAACAGTATTCAATTACTCCCCAGGTATAATAAAATTATGAAATGTAATTAATTTGTACTCCACCTTACTAGCTATTTCTTATATGTGTACCAGATATGTACTCTACCATGTATGCACTCCACCTTATTAGCTATTTCTTATGTATGTACCTTATAAGCCGATTGAAACCTAAAAATTTATTTTCATTCTATATCATGGTCAATTACAGTCACGTGGCCATGCTTCAACATCATTTGCAACTCATTCTCAGTGACAAAACCGCTGCCCATCCATAATCTCCCACCTATATTGCACTCGAATTGAGAAGCCATCATGCTTATTGGGCATCTTGGGCTTGAACATCTTTTATTGTTCATCCCTGGGCCCAGATGTATATTTGTTATCATTTGTATTTCCTTCATTCAGAAGGTTAACTCATGAATAAATATGTGACCTCAACGTTTGCTGAAATCAACCGTTGCCTAATGTTCCAATGTGAGGGTTCTTCTCTTAGCAGAGGTGACATAATTTCTGCAACATGCATGTTCTAGATTGATTCCTAATGCTTTTTAAGATTGTACCTTGAATTCTTCCATTGAGGTATATGCTTCGATAGAATGCGGGCTATTAGTCATTACTTTATAAAACAAATTTAAAATCCTATAACATAATGTATGGTGAATGAACATTCTAATTTTTAAAGAAGACATTTTGTAAATGAACAGTCAAGAAAATATCTTTTGATAAAAGGAAAAAACTATTCTCATGTTACATGAGATCAGACTTTCCTTCTACACACCCTTCCATAATTGTGTCATTTTTTATTTTTTATTTATTTTTTTTAGGTGGTGGAACCACAAATTTATCTCTATGACATGAGATAACTTATCTTCTTTAACATGAGATTAATAAAACCCTTAAAGGGAAAAATGTTTATCATTTTAAACGACACAAAGTTACGTCATTTTTAATGAAACTATGTCGTTTTGATAAGTTTTTACATTCTCTCTCCTCCATTTTCTTTTTATTTCTAATTTTATAAATTAGAGAAAATGATAAAACACACCAAAACGACGTAGTTTCATTAAAAATGACACAAAGTTGTGTCATCTAAAATGACAAACACTAAACCCAAAATTAAATACTAATATATATGGGAGAGGTTATACTTATTATCTCTTACTACCAAATTTTAACCGTTGATTTTCGTCAATCTAATGGTTATAATTTATTGGAAATTAATAATGAATTAATAAGTATGACTCAATAAATTATAACCGTTAAATTAACGAAAATCAACAGTAAGAAGAAGTAGTAAGAAAAAGAGACAGTAACTATAACCTTCCCCAATATATATTAAATTAAAAAAAAAATGATTAGTCTATAAATAGAGAGCGGTAGCAATCACCAACCAACGAGAGAGAAACCCCAAAATGCAAACGCAGAAACCATTACTGAACACGCATGTCAAACTCCTCGCTTTCGATCTCCTTTCCCTCACCCAAACAACCCCTTCTTCTTCTTCTTCTTCAGACCCATTTCCCACATTCTACCGCAGAGGCATTCCTATCTCACGCGCTGAAACCGTAGGAACGGTGATCCTTCGTGATCACAAGCCAAACAAGTTCCTCAGGTTCGCAATCGACGACGGCACAGGCTGCATCCCTTGCATCCTCTGGCTCAACCAACTCACCTCCCCTTACCTCGCGCGCCGCCGCACCCCACAAGAAGTCACCCTCATTGCGGAATCGGCGGCAAGATTCGCGGCGGTTGTAAGAATAGGGGTGGTGGCGAGAGTGAGGGGAAGAATAACGGAATATAAGGGTGCGATTCAGATGAATGTTTCGGACGTTGTGGTCGAGAGGGACCCAAATGCTGAAATGTTGCATTGGCTCGATTCTATCAACTTGGCTCGTAACTGTTACAATCTCTTGCCTGTTCCCTCTTCTGCACCACCAACCAAGTAGATTAGATCATGCTCCCTTTCTTTTTGTCCCTCACAAAAAAATACGGTCTACACTCTCATCTCTTACAACAAGAAAGTCAACTTTTGGTCCTCTATAATTTCAGTTTTTAAAAAATGTGATTCCTTCCACCACTGGTGATAACCTAGTGGTGTTGGGTACATTTAGGGTGTATTAAGTGTGCAGTTCGATTCCCTGTAATGTTCAAAAAAAAAAATATGATTCCTCGTAAATTCAATGAAGATCCAATTTAGTCCCTAAAAAAAGACTAATATAGGTATTTTTTTTGTAAGGGACAAAAATAGAAACAATATTTTTTTTTGTGTTTTTTGCTAAGGATCCAAAAAGGAGCTTTATTAAAAAAAAAACTTTATTGTACTTGAAAAATACTTAGGTATTATAATAACTAATAAGTTATATTTGCAAAGTTTTTATTTATAAGTTACACTATGTAATAGGATAAGGATAGTACATTCCACCACATAATATATTACTCCTAATTAATAATGTAATTTGTAAAAAAAAAATTGTAAATATAATCTTCTCCTACGTATTATAATAAAATGTATATTATTCTATTCATAGATCATGGATATAGTAAAGAATCAATTCAACACAAACCTAAAAGCTTAAGTTGTTGAATGAAGTTGATTTTATATATTTTTAATACTCTCTGTCACATGAGATTTCACTGAGCTTAAAGAGTGAACAACATATACACTCATCTACCTATTCTAATAAATTTCACAAAAGAAAGTAGAAGATGATAAGGAATTGAAAATCGAACATATAACACTGAGACTCTAATATCATATAAATAATTAATTCAACCCAAAGACTTAAGCTGTTGAATGACATTATTTTAATAGTTTAATATATCTCTAACAGATATTAGACGACATATATGATATATCATAGTTTTATTTTATTTTTTAAATTTTGCTCATAGATCATCAATCGCACTCAAAAGTATCTCAAAATGTAACCTGTCATGAATCGCAAACTATTGGAAAGTGATAGATCAGTGAATTCAATTTTTATTATATTTGAGTTGTTTGCCTCAAGTATTGTTGGAGAGTGTGTTCGCGCAATTGTTTCAAAAGCTGCAATATACAACAGTCTATTTTTTCCTCATAAATTACATTCCACCTGTTTTTCATATAAAAGTAGAGCTTCCAAAGGGGTATAGTCAAATCAATAACTAAAATAATCATATTATAGAACTCAATAACAAAGGAGTGTACCCAGCCAACAAATCGAAATATATCAGTAAAATCATTCAATCACCCCAAAAATTGCTCACATTCATTCAATCCTTTGGTAGACTTCCAAGTTCAACAAGAAATAGAAATCAGTTCCATATATTGAGAGAGAGAGAGAGAGAGATTGGTACATAAATCAATTCCATATTTGCCTCATCAACTCTGATATTAGATAACATAAGACAGAAACACAGTATCAAAAGGGGGAAAAGAATACCAAGATTTTATCATCAAAATTGCTATACATTAGATAACATTATACAACAAAAAGTCTTACCTCACCTAGTGGGGAGGGGTCCATACGAAGGGCCATTTTGAGAGCACCCAGAGTAAGAATCATACAAATAGATCAAATGTCCTAGTTGTCTTTTTAGATAAAACAAGTGTAAATCAAATTATATTTGAATAAAAACTATGGAAATTTCCTTTTAAAATTCATACAAACCATAAACTTGACGAATCGGATTCCTTAAACATTGGCAACCAAATAGTAAATGGCACAAAAGTTTGCCTGCTTGATCACCAATGAACTCTTCTCAACCTGTTTCTCCATAGCAATGATTGTCTCTATGATCACCGAGACATCAAGCAAGGTTATGTAAGCTTCATGTACTTCGAAGGTCAGAGTAAGAGACACCACACCTTTGACATTTTTACATACTGCATAAACATTGTGCGGCAACGAAGGTACCCTCTCAACATCAAATCTATTCGCCTGGTTCATTATTTACGCCTAACCTGGAGAATTAGATGCACTTGCTTTTTGAAAATGGACCTCAGCTCTTCATTGGCTTCAATTCCTATTCTCCTGTATTAAAGAAACTTAAATAAAAACAAAAGTTTGCATTGTACCAAAAAAAAAAAAAAAATTGCAGCACTTGGTCGAAAGTTTCGGCACATGGAATATGGGCACAACTAGACATGACAATCTCAAATATAAAACAAAAAAAGATGGAGATATCCCTAGTTTTCCCCATATGCTTAGATTGAATCAATCAAATCACAACGTTCCAATCTTGTCAAATTCAAAACAAGAGAAACTGCTAAAATAACAATCATAAAATCTATTAAATCTACATGAAGGAAAGGTTGAAGATAGAAGTTACCCAATTTTTGAGCCATTCTTCCCCACAAGAATCTTGCATTGGCTTAATTTGTTAGTAATGAAGTGTTGCTCAATTCTAAGAGAACCATCTCGTAGCTCTTTCCAGTCAATCAAACGATGCTCAATATCATAAGGAATTTCCTGAATTGAGAAAATGGTTAGTCAATATCTAAAATTTTAAGAATTAACAATATTACCCAATCCTACAATATTCCTTTGACAAATTTAAACTATAAATTAGAAGAATGAGTGAATTCAACAACTACCTGATGTACATGGTCCAATAACCTTTCACGGACAACTTCTAATGCTATCATCTTCAAAACTTCTTCACTCATGGTAAATGGATCTTCTTCCCAGGGTCGTTCGACTGCCTATGCATAATGAACAATTAAAAATCCAGACCTAAGTCTTGGATTGTCTAATCAAAGATAACAGGAAGAACTATGAAAAATATAATTGTAAAAGAAAAACAAATGCATGTGCATGGTTAAAAAAGAAACAATTCTGATTGTAAAATTAACTAAGTCTTATCCAACTAGGTGGGGCAGTCTCAACCTACACCCAAAAAAAATTGCAGTTTCCTTAAAGGAACTATTAAAATGATTAGGATATAGCTAATAAACAGCAGAAGTAGAAAGATACATGCCTGCTCCATCAAGAACTGAGTCAAATCTTTTACTCCAGCCCCCTTCAGTCCTGATATCATGAAATGCCTAAATAATATAAAATAGGCATTAGAACCTACCTTAAGAACTAGAGTGAATCCACAGAAAAGTTACAATCATACTGCAGACAAGTGTCTCCCCTGGTCTTTCTACAAGAAAACCTTACCTTTCATATCCAGGAAGATCTTTGAATTCTTCAGCAACCTTCAATATGTCTTTCTTTTTCTCTACTAAATCAATCTTGTTCATACACAAAACTCGTCTTTGATTCGGAATAGGTCGTGCTCCCATACGTTTAATTAATTTTATCACTCTTGAATCAGGCCTGTATTGATGAAATGCTAAAAAGAGAGGGATGGGGCACGGCACTAATAACAAAAATAATATAAAAAAATATGCATTAAAATGTAAATACATGTACTCTAATGGGCAAAAAAGTGAACAGACATAAATATGGTGAGTCAGTGACATATAGGCCATTAAAATGGCCTAAATTATTCATATCAAACTTTCTGCAGATCCAAAGGTATATCTTATCTCTAGTAATGTATTAATTAGGGTAACACAGCCATAGCCATGTTTGCTTGGATAAATAAAAGAGAAAAGTTGGGATAATTCCAAAAAAAGAACTCTTGATAAAAATATTGACCATAAAGGAACTATAACCACTGAGTGGTTATTTAAGCCAATTTAAGCTAAATAATAGCTAGCTTTATTATTTATTTATTTTCCAATTCAAGGTAAACAACTATAACAGGAGTTCATAATTTGGAGTTCTCCGAGAAAGGTTTAATATAGAAGAAATTTGTCAAAACAAGTGTAAGAGAACTCCTCAATTTAAATAATAATATTTCAACCTGGTAATATGTCTATGAACATCAAAAATGACTATGAGCACTTCATAGAGATTGACTGAACTCCAGGCACTTTCAACACGAGCTTTGACATCCCTATAAGGAAATCCACCGCAATTTAGCATGAGCCCTGGTGTATCAAAAAAACACTGCATAGAGAATATGATGCGACTGTGAGTATGTAACTAAGAAAAGTGCATTATCAAATTAAAAACCTATCAAAAAACATCATAATGAAATGGCAAGATCATAGATGAAACTGGGAATCTCTGAAGGTTTTGATAAATATAATCAACAAATCATAAACGAATTACAAAATGCAAGATCCACAAGAGGCAGGTTGAGAAGAATATTGATAAAACCCAAATTGAATTACTATTGTATTAATTGAAAACACTGAAACAAGAGACACTATTGGCTGAGAACAGCCTTTCAAGAATGAAAATGAAACAAAAAATGAAACAAAAGCTATCCAGAGGTCTGCCAACAGCAACTTCAATTTCCCCAACCCACTTTGTTACATAAAATTCTCCATATCAAAACACCACACATTCCTACGCACTATATATTCCACCCTTCACCAATTTGTTAGACAATTTCTATCTCCTCTAACTACCTCTGGGCCTACTTGTCATAGCCCCATCAAATATGAAGCAGTGAAAGTCGTGAGGTAGATTAGCAATCAAGATGCTAGCATAAAGTTTTACTGGTTTTGTTATTTATAAGCTATATGATTGTCCAAGGAAAACTGCAACAGCGGGTGCATTTATTTTTAATAAGCTACAACCACTCGAAAACCTTTTTTTCCTATAACTCGTTCATCACCAAAGTCAACATTTAATTTCTTCCAGTGCTCAGCATACAATCCAAATTACAATTACAAACTCATTCAAGTAAAAAGATATCATTGCAAAACAAAATAACAAAAGCTCTTGTGCTAATTCTAAGCACAATAAAAAAATGATTTTTTTCGGATTGATTCATTTACTTGCCTCCAGAAAATATTGTAATGATATTTGGCAATTGGCAATATGATGAATATGAGAAGGATCTATAACTAGCATAGATTTGTTGATCAGTTCCAAGTCACAAAAACATTAACGAGATGTTCTCATTTCACAACGTTATTGTTTCTTCACTTTTCAGAATTAAATCCATGCAAAAATCACAAAAAAGAAAATCAAGTTTTTTGTTGATAATTGATCATACATATATGAACAGTTGATGACCAGATGGACCATCACTACTACTATTTGAAAACTTTACCAGGTCAGACATAACTGTTATAGATCAAGTGTACCATACTTAAACTGCAACCCATGAAATCAAGCATTTAGAATCGCATTTTGAAGAGAAGCATGTCCATAATTTGCCACAGATACGAAAAGCTTATATTCAACATCAAAATGATACTAATTTATTGCATGCATAATAGCACAAGCCTCTAATGCAACAAGTCTAATTATAACCTCATAGTGTTCCCTTTTACCCACAAAGAAGTAAAACAATCAGCCAAGTTACTCACAATTTGGGTTTCTCCTTTTGTCAACACTCCCACAACTTCATGAGTTGTGGTGTTTGTCTTCCGTGAAACAGCAGCCACCTTTGTTCCAACCTATGACAAATCAGTGAAAGCACACAACATATTCAGGAATCATTTGATAAGATTGCTGAAAACAAAAGATGCTAGAAGCAATTCTGCTAGAATCAAGGCATGTCATCAACTACTTCTGAAAACAAAAAATATAGGATATTTAAAACAACTAAATGTGAATACAAGCTCATCCAAATGATAACAAAATGCTCCACAACATTGCTTCAGTTAGGTAACCTCCTTCTAAAGAGAAGTTGCAAAGAATATAATCAAATCACACTAGTAAAATTAATAATGATAATAACTCAATCACCACCCCACCCCACTCAAAAAATAAAAAAAATAAAAAAATTAAAGAAATTCTCAGTCATAGCATGGAATTACATAAAAGACAATCACATCCCCAAGCCAAATCTCAACAATCATGAACTCTTAACTATTAATCTATAATCTAGTTCGTCACATCCCATTATATATGGCTAATAAAAAAAACAAGAAAAAAGAATGAACTCTAACTACCAGCATAACTATATCACTATGTACTCATCACTTATTATTATTTTGTTTGTTTCCATTTGAATAAACATCAGAGAGTATTTATGTCACGAACCTTGAGATCACCACCTCAAAAGCTAAGCTGAAAGGATGAGAGTGCCCAAGGTTTTATAAACCCAACATTAGCTTCCTATACAACCAATGTGGGACTCGTAACATTGCCACCCCTTTAAGGGCCTACGTCCACGGCGACTTTCACTCTATCGACACTGACACGACGGCTTCACTCACCTATCAGTATTCAGTACCCAAAGACACCTTAATCTAGCCTATAGATAGCCCTTCCCGTGACCTCAACTCTTAATGAAAGCACTAATTATTATAGATCTTGAGATCACCACCCAAAAAATTAGCTCAAAAGTGGAAGTGTCTAAGGCCTTATAAACCCAAGATTAGCTTCCTGTACAACTAATGTGAGAGTAGTAACAATTTAACAAAAACATTATTATAAAAAAGAAGAAGAAGAAGAAGAACGAACCATATAATTAGTGAGCGCAGACTTGCCAGCATTGGGAGCACCGATGATTCCGACCGACAATGATTTCTGGTCCTCTTCCTTCACCAAACCCAAACCCTTCTCTTTCTCTTCATCTTCTTCTTCTTCATTGTCTAGTGCTGCTTCAAGCAAAGCCTTTGCGAGAACCCTTCTTCTTCTCTCATCTTCTTCCTCCTTCAGTTTCAGTTTCCCCTTTGGACCCTCTTTCCCGAATATCGATTCGTCCGCTTTGGCCCTGTATTTCTCATCCCACGTGGGTTTCTGTTTCTGTTTCTGATTGTGATATTGATTGTGATGGGTGTCGATGATTTCGTAGTGGGAACTGTCGAAGACTGAGTCGGAATCGTCGTGGGGCTGTGGTTGGGCTGAGAAGGAGGTGTGGAAGATGGTTGATGATGGAGTGGGGTTAATGTGAGAGGTGAAATAGAGGGTCCTCCTTAGGGTTCTCAAAGCTTTCATTGTTAGCATTATTTCTATGGAGTGACCATGTGTAGCTTCCCAATGCTCCTCTTAGATGGGGATTTTCGGCTAAAGGGGTTTAAGGGGTTAAGGGTTCGCCAACTTGCGTTTCGTTTCTAAAAATCATTCATTTTAGGGAAATTACCAGAAACCGCCTTTTCTTGTAATCACACAACAACCCGGAGGTGTGAAAAAAATAATAAATTTTTTTTAGATTAGGGTTTAGTTTTTCAGATAAGAAGTTACGGTAGATCACTTGGTGCATGAGAAGAACTGAGCAAAAAGAGATAAGAATAAGAAGATGTATTCGATTCTTTTCAGTACTATTTTGAAAAAAGTTTAAAGAATTAATCTTGAACTCGCCGCTAACTCCAGATTAGTCTATATGGAACTTATGGAATTATCCGGGGATATGGGTGTTAACGGGGCGAGCAGGGCCAACTTAGATCTTAAAAGACTAAACATGTATTTAAATATGTTAGCCAGGCCTAACTCGTTACCTGTTATGAATAAGACCATAAAAAATATGTGGTTTGACTTATTTATAAAAAATAAAAGTCTGGTTTAATCTGTTAAAAAAAATAAGACAACAAAAATTTATCCAAATAAAATATACTATTAACAACACTAATAATTCCATAAAGATTCATAAATTCAATGTATATTCAAAGAGCATAATATAGAACAAAATAATTCACAAAGTCTATTTAACCAATAAAATGGATGAAATGGGTTGAGGAGAGAGCGCTATTATAAGTAGTATAAATAAAATAAAATATGTTATCAAAAAAAAAAAAAAGTTAGTATACTAAGCCAGCCTGAGAGACTTTAAGGTCGGACTTTTGAATTGGAGTATTAAGCCTTTATATTAAACGAGTTTTTATACAAGTCAAAGCCTAGTTCCAACAACCAATTCTAGACATGTAAGTACAAACCTTCACAAGTCTGGCGAAAGGCCCCTGGTTCGTTTAGGGTGTGCATGACAACCTTCCCAGAATTAGATATTTTTTTAATTTTTGTTTCCAGAAACAGAAATGGATAGAGAACTCATTTGGTAAAACCAATTTATTTTTTGTTCCCGGGATGAATCGGTATAATTTTGTGCTAGGGTACAGAAAAAAGAATAAATTTTTTTCTATTTTTTTATTCCCGGACACAAAATGAGAAACACTTGTCTTTCTCAATCACTCTCTACCACTACCATCATCGCAGTCACTGCTATCACCACCATCACTGTTGGGATATTCAAGTATGACGAGTCCCACATTGGTTGGTAATGAGCTAAGTGAAGTGTATATAAGTGGAAGGATCCATAAACCCAATGCCTTAAGGTTTTGGGTTGTGACATGGTGTCAAATCCACTTGATTTATGCTTAGCCCATTGGTGGTGATCCCACTACTACTACTACCATGATGTCACCATCACCACCGCCATCAACAAAGCACAAACAAACAAAATTTTTAAAAAAATGCGTGTCTAACATGCGGTCAACGCTCTGACACGCATCCGATATTTTTTTTTTTAAGTCTAAATTTTATTTTATTAACTAAACATAAAAAAATAATTTATAAATCAATTTTTTTCTGTTAAGAAATTTGACATGAAAAATTAACAAGGTACAAAAATTTATTTTTGTTTATATTTATGTTATGAAATTTGATATTTGATTGGTTATATGACATATTATGGGTTGTTATATATATTAAATATAAATTATATTATATATATTAAAAATATTATTTAATATCAAAACGTGTCCCAACGTGTCGAAATATGATATTTTTTAGAATTAACGTGTCAGCGTGTCGTATCGTGTCATGCCCCGTGTCAGTGTCGGTGCAACATAGACTGTCATGCCATCACCACCATTACTGTTATCACCATTACCACCATTACTGTCGTCACACCACCACTACCATTACTGCTGTCACCACGCCATTACCTCCACCACCACCGTCGCCACCGTCACCACACCTTATGAATAGAATATGTTATCAAACGCATTTTTTTTCAAAATCTATTCCAAGGCACATAAATATAAAAGAATTGTTGTTTTCAGAAACAGTGCCAAAAAACAGAATAGTTGTCATGCACACCCTTAGCACCCTTACCGGGAGATAATCTAAAAATAAAATAAAATTATCTCCTCTGATCCTAAATCAACATCAATTTATGTTTTGAAGGAAAATAAAATAAAATGTGTATTGGGAATATTTATGTTATACGAGAAAAGCAAAAGTTTCATAATTTTTTATTTTATTTTTTACAAATTCCATAAGAGAATCTAGATATGTTAAAATTTCACATTTGGTAACTTTCTCTTTTTATAGATATTAAATGGGTTCGCTTTTTGTCATGTCACATGACAAGACCATTTTCCTGCTCATTTTCCTGCACACACAAATCAAGTGTGGGTCTCACGCTTAAAAAAAAAAGTCAAACCAAAATCAGGATATGGCGCCGTATCTTCAAGATACGTTGCCGGATCCTTGTTGCAGGAATGAACAGTGTCATTCCTGCAACATGATTCTTATCTTTTCCTAGGGGTCATATCAAAATTTGTACTATTAAAAGAGATAGATACCAAGTTATTTGAATAGCAAGGTCATGTGGTGCAAGTATCCTCACTTAATATATAAGGTGCGCGTGTACATGGGGAGTGTGATTCTCTTTGATGAGGCAGCATTTGTGTTATTTAGGGATACAGGAGTATGACCGGCCCAATGAACTAGCCAGTATGACTGGTCCAAAACAATTTGCTAATAGGGGGATCAAGTTTTCCAAGACTTAATATTTGTAAGCAAGAGGTGTCATATAGACAATGTGCGGCGATAAGGAGCTCAGAATAAAACGTACACAAGCATTGACTGTACTATAATTGCAAGAAAGGATATGCAACTTCTTCCAATGGATGAAGCCGATGGAGATGCATGATAATGGTAGCATAGCGAATGTTACACACAATAAGCAATGATGGATAGTGGGTGGTGGGGTTTTAGCAGATGCTGCTTGTCCAAGGGAAGATATGGAGTTGATCAAACAAAATATGAAAATATTTATTGTTTGTATCTTGTATGCATGTATTAGGTGCAGTAATTGTCTCACTGTGGGTGTTTCGGGTACTTATATTGACAAGGAAAGTAACATTATTGAGTTATTTGTGGAGCAAATGGCAGGTGAAATTATAGGGGAAATGATTGCATTATAACTCATTATAGTGACTTAAACATAGCACAATGAGATATGCAATAAAAGGTTTGGATTGCATTATAACTCGTAAGCAGATAACAGTGCTCAAAACAGCACACTGCCATGTTACATACAGCAACCAAAATACAGAAACCATTTCAAAAAAATTAAGATGGCAGAAGCACCGATTTGTGCTTATCAAACCAGATACATAAATAATAATGGTTTCAAAACAGGACAATATCAACTTGTGTGATTTGGCACAGTACCCTAACTCAAAAAAACATTCCTTACAATCTCGGCTTCCAAGCATACTTAAATAACTAATCCAATTCCAGCTATACAAAAAATAAATGACCCCATATATACTAAGTTCGCAAATTCAGAAAGAAGCATATTCACTCTATAGCCTAAGGTAGATTTCCATCAACTTCAGACGTAGTAGCAACCCCCAAATCTCCTCTAGCATTTATTGCTCCATTCACATTGACGGAATTGTTAGGATGGCTTTATTCACCTTGATGCTGTCCCTCCATTGGTAATCTTACTCAGGTCCTTCTAGTATTGGCGGTAGTCTTGGTGCCAACCTTCATCTTTCCTTTGACTTGGAGATAGTTGAATCACTTCATTGCTGACTTTGGCAAGGGAGTGCACTTTGGCTACTTTCATTTGGAGTAACTTTGCAGCAATCCCACCACCATGTTCAGCCGGCCTTGGAGCTCTCCAGCATGTCCAAGACCATCGTGAACCGCCCCATCAAGGCTCAACAAGAACAGTCTCCTTTTATTAACTGCCAACCATCAAAATGCTATGAGAGAGAATATCTTCAAGCAGTGACTAGGTAATTAAGGTTCAAATGAATTTTAACAGTTTTTCAAAATTTCTCAAGCCTAGGTCATAGTTTGCTCAAACATAAATTCAAGACTTATAGTGGGATCTCACTTAGCATCTCCTTCCCAGATGAGAACCAAAGATCATTTCCATCAGTATGTTTACAATTTGAATGCTACTTATTCATGTTGGTTCAATAATTCATAACAATTGGTCATTCCGAACATCAATATGATAATAATTCATAAATACAAAACAGGGGAAATGAAAATCTTCTAATTTGGACTAAATTTGATCCTCTACCACCAAGTTAGGCTGAACTATGCATATCCATTAGAGAACATAGAGGATGAAGAAAATATACCCGAAATACTATTCAAATAATCTAAATCAAGAGTGAAGACACCAGTGCCTGTGCGTGATAATGCCAAAGAGGAACCGAGGATGATATTTGCTGAGTTTATGAGCTTACATTCGGAGATAAGCTTCATCCATGCAAGAGTGAAGTGCAAATCAATAGAAGCCAATGATCAAATCTGGCACTTTTGTCAATAATATGAGATCCTCCTAGGAGTAGGACATTAGGCATTGTTTGAGTTCTCAATCCACCACCATAGATGGTAGCCATTCAATTTCCTCCGTAGTCTATAAACACAATTTCCTGTCATTCAGGGATTGCAGGCAAAATTAAAATCTTGCAGAGTTTTGTGATCCAAATAAAATATTCAATGTGAAACTGCCTCGTTGGATTTACCAGTCAAAAAATCAATGATTCAGATAAAGTATTACAAATCAACTGCTGATTACCTATCGCATGTAGGCAGACCAATTTTGGTCCCAAAATGAGAAAGACTCCCCACTCCACCTCTGTTGCCATTCACCTCAATGGCACTACATCCTGGAACCTTTCTGATTCCCAAATCTTTCATCTTACTTCTCACCTTGCTCATATCTTCCCATCTGTCAGCAGAAGCATAAATGCTAGCAAGAAGTGTATGCTGACTCGAATCACTAGATTTAACTTTTGCTAGTGTTGTAGCAAGCCTTTCACCCATATCGATATTGCCATAAGTTCTGCAGGCACTTAACAAAGCTCCATAAAGTGGAACTACTATCTCATTGTTTTGATCTGGTAACTTCCTTACCAATTCCTCCGCCTCATGTAACAGTCCAGCTCTACCGAGAAGGTCAATGAAACACCCATAGTGTTCCAAATTTGGCTCAATATGATATATACTTGACATGGAATGAAATAACTTGCGACCTTCTTCTACCAATCCTCCATGACTACATGCACTCAAAAGAGCAATAAAGGTAATGTCATCAGGTTTTGCCCCCAATGTTTCCATTGCTTCAAATAACTCAAGTGCTTTGCTTGTCTTACCATTCATGGCTAGTCCACAAATAATCGAAGTCCATGAGGTGGTATCCTTTTCCTTTAATACATTAAAAATCTTCAAAGATTCCTCTATGCAGCCACATTTAGCATACATTTCAATAAGGGCAGTACCAACAACAGCATCCACCATGATTCTGTTTTCATCTATGTAATTGTGAATCCACTCGCCTTGCTCTAGAGCTCCCAATTGAGCACAACCTGTAAGAAGAGTAACCACAATGAATTTATCTGGTTTCACTCCTCTGATTTGCATCTCCCGAAACAACGCAATTGCCTCATCAAAACGATTAAACTGCACATACCCATTAATCATAGCTGTCCAAAGAACAATATCCCGAGTTGGACTTTTCTCAAACAAATCTCGAGCTTGATCCAGCTGACCACAATTCACATACCCAGTTACCATACTGGTCCAACAAATCACATTTTTTATGGTCATCTCATCAAAGATTTCCCGGGCTACACTCAAACACCCACACTTACAATACATGTCTATCAAAGAATTCCCCATTATAGTCGTAAAATCTAGTTCATTAGCAATGTAACAGTGAATTTCCTTCCCAAGCTCCACGTTCCTCAAAGCCGTGCAGGCCGATAGAGTGCTAACAACTGTGGCTTCATTAGGCTTCTCATTGCTTTCCTTTCTCATTAGCTGAAAAACATTAACAGCCTCTTGGAATCTCCTGCACCTGACATAACCCGAAATCATAATGTTCCAAGAAACATTATCTCTCTCAGGCATTTCATCAAACACCTGTTTGAAACCATCAACTTTACCCAATTCAGCATACATGTCCATCAATGAGTTACAAACATAAGCATCAAACTCAAGTCCACTCTTGACCACAAAGGCATGAACCTTGTACCCTTCATCAGCCTCTCCCATACAACCAATAGCTTTGAAAACATAAGGATATGTATAATTATCAGGCCACACCCCATCTTCCCTCAGTTGCTCAAACAGAGAAATGGCTCTTCTGAAACTACCCCTTTTCACAAAGGCTTTGATCATGAGATTGTAGATAAACAAAGATGGGTGCTTGATGTAGTTGAAGATTCTGTGTGCATAGTGAAAGTCTCCAACAGATGAGTCCATACAAAAGGCCATGAGCTTGTTGAGGGTGTCCCTGTCTTGATGCAGACCCACACAGAACATCTGAGTCTGAATTTGTTTCATGTGGCACATGGATTTGCAGTTTTTGAGAAGAGAAATGCATGTTCCCTTGATTACTTTTGTTGCACTGTGTGACATGGTGCCTATGTCTTCGGATAAATCAAATCATTGTTTAGTTTTATTCACTCCTAAGTCTAAAGGGGAACATATATATACAAATAGAAAATTAATCAATTAATCAATTAGGGGTGAAACTGGGCGGAGCTGTCCTACAGGGACCTACTGCTCGGCCTACGTCAGGTCAGACCTGATCTAGTATATTTCGTAAAATAGACTGGATTTGGGCATTGAAAACGCTTGTTTAATAAAAAGGCGGTAGGCTCACTTTCAGAAGACCTGGCCTATAAGGCTATAGGTCGGCCTATATTATACTATTTATTTTAAATAAAATTGTAAAGAACCTTGGGATACACCACCCCAAAAGCTAGCTCAAAGAGTGGAAGTGCCCAAAGCCTTGTAAAGGCTATATTAGTTGCCCATCCAATCAATGTGCGATTATATATCTCAAGACGCCCCCTCACGCAAGAGCTCTTTTGGCTAGAAGCGTGGAAATTGCACAGGCCCATTTTTGGTTTACCTTTTTGTGCTTTTTTATTTATTTTAATTCCACTTTTTAAAGCGGGGGACGGTGAGGCTCTGATACCATGTTAAGAACCTTGAGGTCACCACCCCAAAAGCTAGCTCAAAGGGTGGGAGTGCCCAAGGCCTTATAAACTCTACATTAGTTGCACATACAACCAATGTGGGACTATATATCTCAACACGTCCCCTCACACAAAAGCCCTTTGGGCTTGAAGCGTGGATTATGCACAAGCCCAATTTTTGGTTTACCTTTTGTGCTTTTATTTTAATTCCACTTTAAAGTGGGGGGCGGTGAGGATCGAACCTCAAGCTCTGATACCATGTAAAGAACCTTGGCATACACCGCCTCAAAAGCTAGCTCAAGGGGTGTGAGTGCCCAAGGCCTTATAAAGGCCATATTAGTTGCCCATCCAATCAATGTGGGACTATATATCTCGACACGCCCACTCACGCAAGAGCCCTTTAGGCTAGAAGCGTGGAAATTGCACAGGCCCATTTTTGGTTTACCTTTTTGTGCTTTATTTTATTTTTAATTCCACTTTTTTAAAGCGGGGGACAGTGGTTTTTAACAAAAACAAAATAGAATAAGTATGTCTTGAAGAAAAAATAAAAGATATAAATTTAATCAATTGCAATTATTTATAACTTAATTATATTCGATTATATTTTAATAGAAATTTGACTTTATTTCTTATCTAGGATGAACCAACATCTCAGCATGTTAGATTGTGTATATAAATATATTAAAAGATTTTTGGGAGACGTTATACTTATTACAAGCATATGATGTGTTGTTGGTTTTATGTAGTTATTTTAATTTATATAGTATGAATTTGTTTGTTGAATCTGATAAAATATATGTTATTTAGTTTAAGCATTTTACTTTTAAAAGTGACTTAAATGCAGATTGTATGAGTTTTGTTGTGATTCATGATTCTGTTTGGACGTTGAAATTATGATTTTTGGTTTAGCAACAGAATTTGAGTATTTTGTAAAGTTGATTCATGGTTATGCTTGAAAGTTAAAAATTAACAGGCTAACGGAGTAGGCCAGACCATTTGTTTTTTTTTTTATAAACGGGTCAAACCAGGTTAGCAGATAGACTCATACTAGGCTTGGACCAGGCCAAATTGAAATTTTATGACGTAGACTTGGACTTTTCGGGACAAAGCTTGGCCCAGCCGAGCCCACTTTCACCCCTAGTAGTATTGTCAAGGCCGTGAAGTTCTATCTACTAAATTTTTTATACATTTACATATAAAAGACTAATCTCAAAATTACTGGTTAAATTGAAATAATCTGTACCCAAGTATGTAATATCAACTTCAATAGAAAAATAGTCTCCTACCATTAATTTATTAATTATGTCTATATATTTTTGTGATTATACCAAATTAAAGATTTCCAAATCTTTCTTATTTATTGCTCGGGCCAACATACTAAAGGTACATATATATAAAAAGATGGAAAAGGTATATTAGAGAAATCTTCAAGAAAGAAACATTATAATAAAATAAATATTCTAGATTCTTAGAGATACAAAAAGATGATTAGGAGGGTATCCCATTTCACATAAAAGAAAATTCGATCCTACTGAAACTAGTTTCTTCATTAATGTATGTTTACCTTTACTTTTTTTATTTTTTTGGTACATAAGTTCACCCTTGTTATTTTTCTTTCGAATTGTAAATCACCAACCAACCTTTTCACCTATAAATAGGAGCATATGACTTTGAATTTCGCACAATACAACACAACTTTATCATCAACTCATACATCCATCACACCGAAGGGTTGCCAAAATATGTTTATCTAAATTAAAGATAGGCACTAGAGAATAAGATACATTAAAAAAAAAAAAGGTATTAGAGAAATCACCAAGAAAGAAATGCAAAAGTTAATATAAGGGAATACTGTTAGATTCTTTGAGATATGAAAACGATTATTAGCGGGTGTTATCCCATTTTACATAAAGAAATCTGAAACTACTAAACCTAGTTTCTTCATGTTTACCTTTAGTTATTATTTTTTGATACATAAATTCACCTTTATTATTATTTCTTTAATATTGCAAAATCACCAACTACCTTCACGTATTCAAATCGATTGCATGTGAAAATATCAAGCAATTAATACCCTAAATTGAAGATAGGCACATCAAGTATGTGAAAATAAGGAAAAACTCTTCACAAATGCCTTCACCAACAAGTATTCATTTTATTGCAGATCATCCTTTCACAAATATATCAACATGCTTTGAATTGGCACATTACACGAATCTTAAAGTTCTTCTGGAGAAAGAAATCAGATCTATGGCAAACTTATACTCAAGGGCAGGGCTATAGTGACCAAATGATGATAATTCAATTGACGCATAAAAACTAAATAAGTAGGGATGACAACATGTGTTCAATCCTTCCCAATATCATTTTTGGAAGGGATTTAAAGTCTTAATCTTGAACCCGTCCCTAACAGAATTCCCTCCCGCAAATGGTACCTGTGATTTATCCAAAAAAAAAAAAAAAAAGGGCTAAAGTGTGAAACATTAGATTTCCCAAATACCGCAGGGTGTTGAAGTGAAAATTGTTATTTTCATATTTCTTTCTGCTCGGTTCCATACAATCCTAAGAATTCTCATCCTTAGCTTTCTTTCCCTTTATTTAAAGGAAAATACATCTATTATGTAACATGATGTAAGCTTCTTTTCCTACCCAAACAAATAGACGTGGGGTCCACAATTTTTTATTTTCTCTTTCCTCAACTCATTTTCTCTCTCTTCTTTTATGTTTGTGTAGGATCAAATAGTGTTTTTTATGTAACATTATATACGTATAACCCTTATTTAAAATACCACCAACTGTTTCCCTATTCCAAACACTGTAAGCATACTTGTAGTGATACACAAGCATCTAGCACCCAAACTACAAGGATTGGGCTAGTGATGACTACTGAAGGGTTTAAATAGTTTACATGAACTTATAGATTTAAACTTCCATACAGTCATTGTGCTAAAAAAAATCATGCATCCACCACCAAGTTCATTCGTCTTTCTGTAAGATAAATCAACAGAGAACCTGGCTGGACCAAACTCCCTACAATAACACACCAAAAAGGGGTGGCTTACTGCACAAGGCTGTAACCATGTAGGGTTTGGAGAGGGTCAGACGTACAAAACCATGTTTCTTCCATAAGGCCAGCAACTTATTTCACAAACTTTTGCACACCGCACCAGCAACTATCATCACAAGGCATCTAAGCACCGTGATAGAAGAGATTGAAGCAAGGATCATCTTGTATTTGTATCCTTCAAGAACTATGGTAGACCCTCTAAAATTAGTAGCTCAATCCAATTATGCATACTGCGAAAGATATTAAGCGCGTGACAGAACCCCTTTCGAACTGCACATATCAAATAATGCATCATATTAGTTTCACGTGACACATAGATGGGGAGAAAAACACACAATCTTACTTAAAAAGTACAAATAAACATGAATACTAAAGCGTGTAAGTAAAAAACCTTGATTATGCCTACTTTGCAATTATCTATTAGTTTGATTGAATAAGCTGACAAATTTTTCAATATATGTTCAAGGGTGATTTTAAACTTGAGAAAGATTCTTTTCTCCATTCTTATTAGCAAATGTTGTTCATTCTATCATCTGAACATAAACAGTGAACTAAACAATTTGATCCAAGAGTAGATAGATCATACAGGATTTAGGGAACAGGAAAATACAAAGTAAATGGTTTCTTTTTTATGTATATGAACCAAGTAAATAGTAAATAAAATCTGATTCTCATTATAATAGTATAAGAATCAAAAAATAGTTTCAAAGAAAACAGACCTTGGCACAGTTCCACGGCGACGTGGGTCATACTCTGTTGCTTGTCTAAGAGCCCTAGCAAAAGCTTTGAAGGTTGCCTCAATAATATGATGAGAATTTCTTCCAGCAAGCTGTGCTCAACCAAATGCATATATATTCTGTTAAAAGGTTTTAAAAATAGGAATAAAAAATATAAACTAGAATATGCATAAACCTCAGAAAACTCAAGTTGGAATCCGTACGCAATGCATCAAGAACATACAAATTACATCTCAATTTCATAATCTATCATAATACCACAAGAGGCCTGGTATAACACCAACATTCAATTTGTTTCTTCCATAAGGATGCACAAATATACTTGCAATGACTGCAGCTGATTATAAAAACCGTATATTCTAGGTTTTAATACCTGACGAATGTGAAGTGTCATACCAGAAGTATTCACTAAAGACTGGAAAAAATGCTCCACTAACTACAAACAAGAATATCCAGACGATTCATCAGTAAATAGTAAGAATAAAATTCACAGTGAAAGGAATAAGAAACATATTAGTTCTTTTAAGAAAAGGAACCTCTATTAAAGTGAAGAAAGAAAGTACAATGTGGGTGAACATAAAAAGAAAGTACCCTCAAGAGAAAAGAAAAACAAGAACAAACACAAAGAACAAGACTAAGAATGTAGTAGGCTAATATACCAGCACATTTATAATGTTGGAAATATATAAATAATGTAACTAGGCTAAACAAATCTTGTAATTATAGTAATTAGGATATTTGTGTTCTTGTAATTTTTACATTAACGCTATACAATAATATGATATATTATCGCATCAATACAATTTTTAGAGATATAAAACCATTCTTACACCATCTAATAGCTTAAGCTTTTACAAAAGACGGTCCTTGACATGGTTTCAAAGCCTCTACAACCAAGTAGTAAATGGTTCGATCCTTTCCACCCACATTATTTAGTCCATGCTATAAATCCAAAAAGTTCTTGCATCAAATGGTGTGGCAGAGATAATAAAATCATTGTTGGGCTTCCACCTAACTACTTGAGATTTTACAAGACTAGGTCCTTGACAACAATATGTCAAGTGCAAACAAATATGGACAAATTCTAAACTCAATAATGTAGTAATCAATTAGAAATACACACTACCTGAGTGTCATATGTCCCGACCCTCTGAGTGGGGATGTCCAAATTATAACTTAGATGTGGTCGACCAGATAAATCCTGAAAAAGAAAAGGGAAGAAATGCAGTAGTAAAGCAAACAAAACAAATTAATAGGGGAAAACAAGCTTGTAAATATGGTCAGAATGGACATTAGAACTTTCTAAATTTAGTACAGAAGCCAAGTGTACAAGTAAAGCCAGAACTAATGATAAAGCATCAATATAAGAGCTCCCTGTACTGGTAGCTATATTATTTGAAATTAGCTGAAATTTAAGAGTCATCAGAATTTCTTGAAACACATTGTTGTGGATGAGAATATATGATTTTTAAAATCACAGAAGGGAGTTATAACATTTCTAAATTCAGTGTATCTCTAATATATTGCGATATCTGTATGATAAGACTATGAAATTTAAGACTATGCTTCACTCTCCCCAACCCCACCCCCACAACAAACACACACATTTATGTTAACAAATATTTAAATAATGATTAATATAGCATCCAACATACCAGTGAAACATGTATTAATGCTTCATCAAGTGGAGCAGAGAAGTTACCAAATCTGTTAATTCCCCTCCTATCACCAAGGGCCTGCAGCAAAGCCTGCAGATGTAGTAATAGAAATCTCTTAGTGTTAATAAGATGATAGTTGAATACAACTTCAAAAAATTCTATGATAAATTCAAAATCTCATTGATGCATAATTAAAAGCAACATTATAATGCTGTTTGGGGCTTTGCCCCTTAATTGTACCAAAAAAAAAACCGCAACATTATAACTGTTAGAGCTGTCACCAATGACTTAGATGCCATTGTGCATGAAAGGATAAAGTCAAATGCAAAAATAAAACTTGCACATCAATCTTTATGTAAAATCTTGAAATTAAGAAAATGAAGCAAGTTTGAGTTTCAAGGAAAGAAAAGAAACAGGTCACATAGTTGTTGTCAGTACCGTTCCAATAGCAAGAGCAACATCTTCATTTGTGTGATGATCATCAATGTGTATGTCACCTGTAGCCTTTACGTGCACATCAAACAGCCCATGTGAAGCAAGTTGCTGAACAATCACGAGCAAGTTTAGTTTTCTCCATTGAACAATTTTAATTCCTCAACAGTTCTTAATTTCAATATTCACTTTGAAGTTAGGAAGCAGAAAATAAATTATTCATTTATGATCAGATTCTGACAACTCAGATCTTTCCAAGAAGGCACATTCACAAGACCACTATTCATCCCACTGCCACATCCATCCACCTAGCCTTTCATCCCCCATCTGCAAGATATTGACTCTGTTTCACTGGCTAACATCAAATGGACAGCGAACAAATAAATGAAAGGTTACTAAAAACTCAGAAACAAGGGAACTAATGGTGTAATTTCACAAAACAAAACTCATCTTTCTAACTTCTTCACAACACTGAGAAAGTAGAGCCTTAAAGGTCAGTCAGAACTCAGAAGGGCCAAAAAGAAACTTGTGACCAGTGATTGAAGTTTCAATTCACGTTCAATGGAAGACAGCAATAATTGAAAATAAAATATATATGGGAGAGATTTTTTGATTCCGGTGTAAGATTTAGAAGCCTTACTCCTCATCTCAACCATTGATTTCCTTCCATCTAACGGTTATAGTTATTTGAAATTAATAATTACTTAATTGGTATAACTCAATAAACTATAACAGTTAGATGGATGGAAATTAACTGGAATAAAGAATAAGACTTTTAAGTCTTACACCTATCAAAGGATTTTGCCCATATATATATATAGTTCGCTTTTTCTACTGTCAATCTAGATAATTTATCTACATTGAGCCTAAAACAATATTGTTCTGAGGCAAAAATCAATGTCTTTTTGCAATTATAATTTATTTCAGAGTTATAATAGTCTTTTTTATTATAATTTTTTAATTTTTCCATCCAAAATGACGTCATTTTGGAAGGTAATGTAGTTAACTTATTTACATTCAGTATAGAAACATTAAAGCCATATATATATATATATATATATATATATATATATTTGAAAGCATCAGCAAGAAAAAATGTAGTACAATTTATTTGAAAGTAAAATTACTGACATCTAGCATATGATCGAGGAAGGGAATTCCAGTACTACTATCAGCAACCCCAGAACCATCCAAGTTTATTTTGACTGCTACATTGGTCTCCTTGGTGACCCTTTTCACCTCTCCAATTCTAGCTTCTGAAAAGGACCAAACAAGCATTCCAATTCATTCGTACATCCCAATAGTCAAGTCATTGAAATCACCATCTTCTCCACACACAAACATGAATAAATAAATAAATAAATAGCAACAACAATAAGAGCTTGAGAATGGTCTTGACCTGAGTCAAATGGCAAAGCAGTTGTGGTTGAACCATTGTTGTGTTCCACCAAAGCAGAAGAGGAGATAGTTCTGGGAGTATCCATTGGGATGAGATTGAAGCGTTTTACTGAAAAGACTGAAGCTTTGAAAGGTGCGAATGTAGGGATAAGAGTTCTCTGAAAAATCTTAACCCTAGATTTCAAGAGCAAAGATGAAGGGCATTTTTGAAGACAAGGAGCTGAAGACACCTCCATTCAGTTCGTGAAGCCGAGGTACAAGAAGTCTCCACAATCACACACACACACATAAATAAATAAATAAATAATCTAAATTATTTAATGAAATTTATATAAAATTTTATTTAATAATAACGAAAATAAAAAATATGTATATTATTAAGGAAATATGTGTCTCACGCTTGTCATACAAAAGGGTTCAGGATCCACTTTTAATGTGTGAATAACATAATTTTGTCTCATGCACTAAAAACATATTTTCCATATTTATTAACATTTCTCGAATTCGAAATAAATAAGAGCAACTTAACTTATTTTTAGTCTATCAAATGGATTATTTAGAATGAGGTAGGATTTTTTGACACCAGTGTCAAATTTAAAGTTTGACACCTCGTCTGAGAGCTGATAGATCAAAAAAGATCTATGGTGTCACATGCTTGCAAATCAGAATCGTTGATCTTTTTTTATCTAACGTCTCTCAGATAAGGTGTTAAACTTTAAATTTGACACCGGTATCAAAGGATCCTGCCTCATTTAAAATTCAGTTAGTTTATATTAAGGATTTAATGTTTTTGTTTTCATTATAAAAAAATTATTTGTCACACTTACATTAAAGTCAATAAATTTCATTAACTTACAACGAAATTCATTTATTTTTATACTAGTGGGGTAAAGAAATTATTTTAGAGAAAAAACAAAAATAATTTTTCCTTAGAGACCAAATTTTAGAAGTAATATTTAGAGCCCGTTTGGATGGATTTTTTTTTCTTCAAAAGCTGCTTTTTTAAAGAAAAAAAAGCACTTCTCGAAAAAAGTCTGTTTGGATGCTTGCTTTTAAAAAAAGCAGAAGTCATAAAAAAAGCTAAAAATCTACTTTTTTCGGAAGCTAAAAATTTTAGCTTTTAAGAAAAGCAGAAGTCAAAAGTCAAATATTTTTTCAAAAAACAAATATTTTTAAAAAAATCTAAATAGCTGTAACTTTTATAAAAAGTACTTTTAAAATAAGAAAGTGATCAAAAGGATACAAACAACCTCTTACAGAAACCAGACTACTATTTTAAACTGTGAGTGGGTCATATTTAAGTAACGTTGTTTTGTTTAAAAAAAAAAATAACGTTTTTGTTTATTGTTTCGTAGGAGGTCCTATGGCATTCAGCAGTGGCAAATCACTTGTATGTCAGCCGTTACTTTCGCATCAAAATTTCTTCGAAAATTATGATATAGTCTTATTATTGGTTGAATTTTTAAAAATAATATAACATTAACACACTATTTGGTGAATCTTTTATCATTAGTTGAATTTTTCTTTTCACTCCGCAAGTGACATTCACCTCGTTGGCACACACAGCTTCCGTTATTTAATTATATTCTCTTGCTTAGAGTAAAATTCTGAGTGTAGTTTTGAATTATTATAGATTATTCTTTTAATTGAGTCTTTTCTATTAAATGATATGGTGCATGAAATGCTCACTATCTAATTAAGAACAATAAGATCTGCCTAATCTTATTGTAAACAATGCTTTTTAGAGTCAAATATAGATTAACTCTCTCTCTTTCTTTCTCAACTCTGCCATCAATTTCGCACTACATTTGAGCCCAACTCTAACATTTAAGATTTGCTGTGTGACAATTTGACTTCACTAAGGGTTATTTATCGTCATTTTGTAATCATACCCTTATAAATGAGAAGTGAGTTATTATAAAATACAAGAAGAATAAATATCAACCACTTAAATAAAATTAATGGTCAAATTAAATTCTCCTTAAAAAAAAAATCATGTGACACTATTCTCCAATAGATATGCTCTCACTTTTAATACTCTCCTGTTTGTTTCAATTTTTCCATTTCCTTGGCGGTTTTCAACATCAAACAGTATCAATCAATCATGAGGTTTGGTTTGAGATAACAGTTTTTTTTTTAACATATATCCCTTGTGAATATCAGTCAAATAGTGTTGAAATAACCTATAAAAAAAATTACACATCTATATATTACAGAGTATTTCCAAAAACTCAATTTTAGCGAAAAATCTAATATATCACAGAGTAGGTACAGTGAACCTATAAGAGCACATCATGACAACTACTATAGTATTAGAGAGAGATTTTTTTTTTTTTTTTTTATATTTTACACCATGTATTATCGATATTATATAATATAAATACACCATCGCATTCAGTAATTGGTGCCACTGTGATACAAAAGATGCTTTCCAATTTTAGAAGGGCATTTAAGATAGTGGGGCTATCCTTGACCACATAGGCGAACTGGACACTAAGACACATTGGAGAAGAACAAGCACAAAAAATGGTCAAAGTTATCTCATTTCCAAGATTCTAGCCCTTTCTCCTCCACACAAGATTTTTTTTTTTTTTGAAATATTCCAATCGGTTCATTGTTTCGCAACTAATCTGATTCGGGGTGGGTTCAGAATTAAGGCTTTAAACCCCTCCCAAAGATAGTACTGAAGAGATTCGAATACATGCTCTCACCTCCACTTGCTTAGCTTCCACTCCACACAAGATTCTAGCCCTTCTACCACAGTCTTCTTATTTTTTATCCTGGTCACGCTACTAATTGAGTTATGTTCTTCTATACCAAAAGGTTCATTTTGTTTATAATTTTTTTTATACAAATTACAGTAAATATGATCAGTCATACACTCTCGATTAAAATATGACCAATCAAATATAATATAATTTGTAAGAGTTTATAAACAAAAAATTTATAAATATAACCTTGCACGTATCAAAATGAGCTAAGAATGAAGACGTCGTACACATAGTCCAACATTATGCAAGAATACTTAGCCAGATGCTCTATAAGCGGTGTTGGGTAGTATTTTTCTCAAGAGAAAGAGTTATCGTTCTCAGGGAACAGGTTGTTTAGTTTTCCCTTTTTTAATTCCTATTTCTAATTTCTTGAAATTAAGTGATCAATCTTTTAAAACTAAGAAAAGACTAAATCAAACAAGGTATTTATCAGATTTGTATTAAACAAAATTTAACAGAGAGATATCTAATCACAAATGTATCAATTATAAGGTTCTGGAATTCTTTGAATCATGGATGAAGGAAAAATTTCGCATTCCTGCGTTTTATAACTGCTACGGCACTTTAATATCAGAATTCGAATTACTATGGCTATTTTATCTGAAACTTCCCAGTTCCAGATTTTAATCTTTAGAATGATCTTTTCCCAAAGTCTTCTAAATCTTTAAAAATTGTATCAAAGACCTCCTTGAGTTATCCCTAACCTCAAGGGTTCAATTAACAAGGGACATAACCTGATTTCCCAATCATAGCTATGCTAAAATTATTCAAGACCCATTCCCATGGTGTTCTTGAACTTAAAATCAAAATCTTGCTAATCAAATGAAACTAAAGCAAGCCATCACAGTATTTAGAAAATTAAAGATCACCCAATCATCGTGAATCTCAGAAAGGAAAAAATCAGAAACCCATATTCAAAAATATTACAAATCTAAAAGTAAAGAAACATGCATCACAAACATTCATGAAAGAAAACTCAAGGTAAAGTTACAAACCGGTTCTTAAAGAGTCAAAGTTACTAAACTAGAGCTAGGAAGAAAAAGATCAGAAATGTGAAAACAGTAGCTCGTATGCAGATCTGTGGTTTCTTTCCTTGATGTTGCGTTGTCAATGCACTTTGAGATCAAGAATTGAAGAACAAGCACCAGCTTTCAAGACAATTTCTTAACACTCAGATTCGAAGAGAGAAAATACAAAATTCTAAATGTAAAACTGAAACTAACAAGTACGGTCTCTGACCCTAAATGACTCAGACTTCTATTTAACTAAAAACTAAAAAGCTGCCTCAAAATGCATTGCTGTCCATCCATCTTTTTGTCCATCCAATGGTTCAGATTTGATCTTGCTTTCAAAAAGTTGATCTTGCTTTCAAACTGCAGTAAAAATAACAAAAGAGAATAGTAAATCATCAAATTACCTCTTTCTCTCTTTTTTTTTACCTTTGGGCTGATTGGTACTCATTTGGCCCATTACCATGCACTAATATCTAGCCTTCACCTCAAATATTATAAAAACTAAGCCATTAAAATTAGTCATAATTGATAGCTAACAAGCGGCTACCACAAAGGTTGATGTCGACCCCTCGTATACTCTCCTTGTCAAAACACTGCCAAAATTTCTACTCACTAGCCATAACCGAGGTCAACCATCTCCCCCTGAGGCAAGCAGAATTCCCCATTCTTCCATCAAATATTATACTTTTTCCTATATACTCAGGCTCAAATATCCATGGATTCAAATTTTGTTTAGGTTAATATAATTCAGAAAATACTAGTTTTGTCAAAGCCTTTTATTCATATCTATCAAAGGGTGTTATTTAATAATGTCTATCTAACATACCCCCAATAATCCAAACAAACTTTCAAATTAATATCTTTCTTACATTCATTCATGAAGGTACCCCCTGAGGAATTGAAAATCATATCAACGGATATGACCTTCTTGAACTGTAGTTAGTATTAGTGTCTCTTTAGTCATTGTTACATTACCCTTTATGCTAAACACCCTCTCCCTCACCCACAAGTTCAATATATAGCAACAATATTGATGTTGTTGACAAAAAGTATTAAGGATCGTCTGGGAAATAACTAATAAAGATGAATACGTGATCTTCTAGAAAATAAAAAATAATAAATAACCACTATGCATTATATACCCTCAACATTTCCTCATTGGCATATGCATGATCTAAGAATCGCATTTGAAGGTAAAAGACATGCATTATGGGGAAGTAAACTGTTAACCACCAATTGTGAAAGACATATGGCATAAGCATATAAGTGTAGATTTCGAGCAGCATCGTAAGGGAGCAGTTATCATCTTAGCGTATAAATAACACGTATTGTGTAGGAGAATAATACAAAATCATTAAAAAGGTCTTCATCCAACACTTTGAAGTTTTGGGTTGAAGTGATTTTTTACATGGTATCAGAGCCTTGGTGACCATAAGGTCTTCGATCCTCACCGCGGATCACAATTCCATTTTTGTC